GGTGGTGCTTCAAATTTCCAAAACAGGTTTAGGACCTTAGGTGTCAACAATTGGGAGAATAACTAATAGCTGAATTATATGAAGGAAAGAAAGACAATGAACAGCCTAAGCAGTAACTCAAGTGCTGCACCTCTTCCGTCACGTTAGCTCAAAATTTATGTTGCACTTCGATTTAGATAAGCCAAACACATCAAAATACTATTAAAAGATATAAAATGGCATACAGCTAAAGTATACTATCATAAACAGTGGGAAAATTTCAAATTCATGGAGTTCCAATACACCCTTGCGTAAAAAATAACTACGGAACCAACAAAGAACCAAAAGAATCTCGGAGTCAATTTTATCTTCAACCGAACTAATATTTCCTTTGTTATATTCCCTACCTTTTGTTCATCTTTGCTCTTCAATCTGCATATAATGAAATTGGAAAGATAATTAGTGATGGCCCAATTGTTAGATAGGTGTGCCCGATAGAGACAATGAGGAAGCAAGTCTTAAAATAAAATTGCACGGAACCAAAATGGACAAGAACAGCTCTGCTACTTGGAAATGGTATAAACGAAAAGGTCGAAGATAACCAATAATAGACTGAAGAACAGAAGAAGGGGAAAACAAAAGGAGTACGAATAAATGGAATCTTAAATAAATGAAGGTAATACAGGTGTTTAGCCTGATCCAAGACAATTTTGTGCTGCCTCTACAAGTGGTGAAGAAATAACACAGGATTTGCCGGTAGTTCTCGAGTTTCAACATAACCACATAATTCTCTCTCTCGATTACTGCTCAGGAAAAAAAAAAGTAAAAGGAAAACAAAAAAAGAAATGTCGTGTCCTCTAATTTTGTTAGCCAATTCGTATGAAATTTCCCATGGTAAAAATACAGAAACCCCAGAAATAATAAGATAACATCCAAGTTAAAGAACAGTCGACTCATCAATTATGGACATGGCAATAAGGAACTAATATTACACGAGATTATCTCAGCTCGAAACGACTCATAGATTGAAGCAATAGAACACCATACCTGAGCAATGGAAGCATCCTGAGTCCCGGAACCAGACACGTCTGTTGGCCTAAATATCCCTTCAATCCCATTATTATCAAAAACCTGTCCCGGATTATTAAGAGCCTCGGCAAAAAGCTCTTCACAATTCTCAATACTCAAGTCGGCCTCATCCATATTACCATAGATACCAGCACCCTCATATCCCGCGGTCTCCTTAGCATCATTAGTTTCATCACATCACAAAATCATAATTACAACAAAAAATGATTTTTATTTTTTTAAAAAAGAAAGAAAATAAAAAGTACCTTGCCCGTAACAGAGCTAGAAGCTCCAGCTGCCACATCAACATTCGTAAGCCCATAATCAGGCGGCTTAAATGGCTGCATCCAAGGCGTTGCCTTATTGAGCCCACTCGTTCCCCACGTGTCATCAGAAATACTCATCAAACTCATCCTCTGCTCGCAGTCTGAGTCGTCACCCAAAAGGAACAGGAGGTCCACCAGGAAAGGCCAAACCATGAAAAGCTCATTGTCCGTGGGACATCCAGAGTAGCAGCTGACGGGCTGCCTCGTGTGCGCAGTCCCCATATGGCCCGAGCTGACGCGGCACGTCCAGTCGCAACACTCACAGAGGGATTTCTGCTCCTCGGCACACCTGATCAGAGCTGGCTGGCGGCAGCACCAATCACACACTAACGTGCGCGAATGGCGTCTCGAGAGGGCATTTGCAGAATGCACTTTGCGGTCACAGGACAAGCACAAGCTGGCCTCGTCCGAACGGCAGTACACAACCGGCCTTTGCTCCCCACAAAAGTCACAGATATAACCCATTGTACCCCGACTTTCTTCTTTATTCAAACTATTGGAAGGGAATCCCACACTTTGTTCCTATTTATTCAAGCTGGAAGTAGGAAGCTGTGATTGTTATATTACCTACATTTATAAAAAATGAAAGGGTTACAAAGACGGCCCGGGTTTACAATATGAGCGATCGGTATATATATAAGAGCAGGAATCGATTTTAACAAAATGTTTTAAAATAGAAGTAATATTTTTTTTCCCAGGTGACAAATGACATGCCTTTTCAAAAGATAGGAATTTTAATGGCAAAAATATTCCTGAGACCAGATGGAATATATTCTCTTGTTGACAAAGGGAGATTTGTAGCATTACTACCAGATTATTGGAAGAACAAATTCTTCACTCATATATAGCTTGTAAGCATCATGACAAAGACACATGAGAAAAGACCAAATGAAGAAAAACCCAACCAATTGGCATGTCATTATACCTGAAAAGTGAAAACACAACCACCCAAATACAGAAACACCAAATAGATGTAAAAACCAGAACCATACATCACAAATACAAAAAGGTGGAAGCTTTATAACGGATTCTTTTAGGAGAGAGAAGAACATGGGCTCCCTCTAGCAGGTTTCTATCATAAACACAGTTAAAACCCCAAAAAACAGATAAAGATCAGACCTTTC